ATCCCCTGAAGTCATCTCAAAATTGAACAACAGTTTAGCTGAACTACTGAAAAAGGTCTGCCTTGAGTATTATGCTCTCATAAGATCTAGCTAGCTATATGATCAAACTGAAAACAGCAACTCAAAAGATTAGATGGGAAACTTAGGGGGCAGGGGAGGAACAATTGGGCAAAGAGGGTGAGAATGGTTGCCACGACTCAAAAGAATGGAATCAATGTCAGTGAATTGTACATGTAGAAATTGTTGAACTGTATTGTTCTGCTGTGTATACTCTCACCACCAACAACAAAGCTATGAGAAGTATGTAGCCACTAAAATAGCAAAACTGATCTAAGAACCCCAGAACCAGTAGGTACTCTTCCAAAGACTTTTTTTTTAAAAAAAAAGAACATAGACAACATAGAGTGCAATGAGAGGTGATAATAAAGAAACTAGTCTCCATGTTTCTGAGCCTCAGAGAGACTAGATATGGTGAACCTGAAAAAGGGAGGCATGTGAGACAGTTTTAATATTTGCAATGTTGGCTGTCCTTATGCAGTATAGTTAGATATGTTCCATATAGACACAAGAGGTGGAACTGAAACCAATTAACTAACAACAACAACAACCAAAAAAAATGTTCTGAGAGACAAAAAGATACAAAGAGGGATGGACTGCATTGTGATGTAAGGAGTCTCCCAAGACTGGAAGGTTCAATAGAAGGTAGAGGACAACTCATCATGGATAATGAAATTAGGATTTGAATCGGTCACAGTAGTGAGAGGGTTAAGCAATGTGTCAAGAGAATTGACACACAATCTGTGTTATCCCTCCAGACTATTCTGACACGGTAAAGTTTGAGAGCTATTGGTTACAGCAGTGCTGTCCAGTAGAAATACGTGAGCCACATTTGAATTTATAATTTAAAATTTCTAGTAGCCACATTTAAAAAAGTAAAAAGGAACAAGTGAAATTAATTTTAATATTTTATTTAACCCAATATATTCAAAATATCATTTCAGTACATAATCAATATAAAAATACTGAAATACTTTACATTCTTTTTTATTTTTGCACTAAGTCTTAAACATCCAATGTGTATTTTATACATACAGCATATCTCAATTCAAGCTAGCAGTATTTCAAGTGTACAGTAGCCACATGGGGTTAGTAGCTACCATACATGGACAAAAACCTAAAAACAAAACTGCCATCAAAGAGACCCTATACCACATTGTAGAACTGCCCCCATAGGGTTTCCAAGACTGTAAATCTTTACAGAAGCAAACTGCCTCATCTTTCTCCCATGGGGCAGCTGGTGAATTCAAACCAATGAACTTTTGGTTAACAGCCAAATGCTTTAACCATTACACCATCAGAAGTCCTGTACATGATAGCTGCAGTATAATTCAGTTATGTTTGGTCTTTGGGATGGCACAGATTGTCAATATTTTAAATTTACTTAATTCTAATTCTAGAAGTAATGATTTAAAAAGTACCATCTATTCCAGTTAAAGAAATGGCACTATGTAAAAAACCAAATTTTAGCGAATTTACTAGTGTTACAGAAAATATAGTTAAAAGGTAGTAATATCTTCCCTTAGTACACATTAATCCTTCTAATATTAAGCCCTGAAAACACATGCCAGCAACCAAATCTTATTGCCTGCGTATATTCTCAAAAAGAAGAAAACTGATCCAAACTGGTCAATTAGTTCTGCCCCTGGGGTTTTTGGAGATGAAATCTGTGATAGAATCAAGGAAATTTCCCCTTGAGAGTGGCTGAAACTATCAAGTGTTAATGGTCAAGACAGAGTGGCAGGCACGATTCTTATTACTGTGAACTGGAGTTAGAACTGACCAGTCTTACAGAGAAGAGCATGATGCTGATCCATTATGTTGTTCATCATAAATGAACAACAGTCCTGACGGAATCCAATGCTAATTCTGCATGCTCCTAATGTCCAGCAGCATCCGTCACGAGTATCATGAGATACTCCAGTATCCTATCTTTACTTAAGTTAGCACATGTCACTTTTTCTCACTTTCATCAAGAGTTTCAATTCATAATGATAAGTAAAACAAGGAAAAAGAAGTAAAAGATTTTGGCAAAAGTGTTATTAGTACTTAATACTTTTAAGCAGATTAGTAAACCATGGTTCCAACAACAAATTAAAAGACTTCCCTGAATCCCAAGTTTGGTTTAGGTACTCCTCCTATTGTACTAAGGCCCTAGGTTACACAATGTCTGACTTACTGACAACTCCTACCTGCAATTTATTTAAATTTTTCCTCACTTTGAAACAATGAAACCAATCCCTACTAGCAACAAATTCATCACAGTCACCTTCACTTGTTGCACATGCAGCTTTTAAATCACTCAAAAGGCTTCAAGCCTTTTCTTGCACTTAAAAATAAAACCCAAATTCACTGCCAAGTCGATTCCAACTCCTAGTGACTCCCTTTGGGTTTCTAAGGCTGTAAATCTACGGAAGCAGATTGCCTCATCTTTCTTCCACAGAGCAGCTGGTAGGTTCGAACCACCAACCTTTTGGTTAGCGCACAAATCCCTGAAACATTACACCACCAGAGCTCCTTCAAGTAAGGCTAAATAAGAACCATATGCACATATTCCAACTCACCTACAAATTGAACTTAAAGAGACACTTAAGAATGAATCTCAATCTTAAGGTCTGCCTATATACCTACAGCAAAAAGAATTCGCCTGTTTATTTGTATATATTCACTAGATTATAAGGTCCATCTGGATAAGGGCTTTCTTCCTTGCTCTTTGATGTAACCCAGCATCTAGGACATGTCGTTGTTCTGGCCATACTGATCATCAGAACTAGAAAACAGCAGCCCATAATGGAATAACTGGTATCTGGAGGGCCTGGGTTCCAGTGCAAGCTCTACAGCAAATCAACTTTCATTTACTTACTAGCAAAATGTGAAAATAATCTTTTCCTTCCAGCTTTATGCTTCAGGAATGCACCATATACTGAGCACCTAAGTTACTGCACACTTTCCAATTCAAGTAAACATTAACAAGTCATAGTATAACCTTTACATTTTAATTCTATGAAGAAAACAGGATGTGGCAAACAGATGTGTTGCTCACATTCCTGTTTAAGAAAAAATGCACTGCAAGGAGTGTGGCTGGCTGACAGTCTCCAGTTGTTAGCTTCCTCAGACTTCGCTTCAGAGATCACATTAAGCTCGAGGTGACCCTCAGGCAGAATGAACAAGGCAGTGGCACAAGGGCCTAGCCATTTCCACTCAACACAGCATTCCTTTAACAAGCAGCCTCTGCTCCGGAGCTCCCCAATGACCTTGTCAGCTCTCCATTACGGCCTGATGGCCCCCTCTGCCCAATTCTACATCCTTTCTTTTCCTTTCACAGGAACAGTTTAATAGGATTTAAACCATTTTGCACTTCTAACTGCATTTTAGTGTCTGCTTCCTGGAAAGCACCACCTCTGCCAAAATCAAAGACTAGTTTGTTTCCAATTAATTTACTCTCACATCTACTTAACCTGTTTATGTTAATCATGGTAAGCAGGCTTTTCCTAATACAGGGTACATGCATTGATTTTTATTTCTTCATACTTCTTTCGCCAGTAAAATGTTTTAAACGTATTTCATGGTATTTGGTAAACCAAAACTAACCAAACTCCCTGCCATCAAGTTGATTCCAATTCATAGTGATCCCCTTTGGGTTTCTGAGGCGGTAAATCTTTACAGAAGTAGATTGTCCAGTCTTCCTTCTGTGGAGTGGCTGGGGGTTTTGAACTGCCAACCTTCTGGTTAGCAGTCAAATGTCTTAAGCACTACACCAAAGCTCCCTGCACTTGGTAGAGTTATATTTATTATTTAAAAAAAAAAAAAAAAAAAAAAGCCTTAAGGGCAGCTGATTAGAAAAACACAACTTAATAGCACCCTCTGGTGGTAGTTAACAGGATTTGTTCACTACACAATCAACATGAAAAGTGGACCTTCTGAAGCCATGACCTTTGACATTTTAAAAGACGGAAAAATAAAAATGTCATTAAAAAAATAAATGGGATTTGGAGTATAATCCCTTTCCTACACCTCCCATCATTCTATACAGTACAGATGATTCACTGTACCTTGCTTCACATTGCAATTATCAGAACCCAAACCAAAAAACCAATCTCACTGCCATCGAGTCAATTTGACTCATAGCAACCCCTCCTTAGGTTCCCAAAGCAGTATCCCTACAGAAGCAAACTGCCTGATCTTCCTTCCGAGAGAGCAGTGGCTGGTGGGTTTGAACCGCCAGCCTTCTGGTTAGCAGGCAACTGCCTTAGGCACTATGCCACCAGATTTCCCTATCAGTACCCAATACTTTATAAACATTTTTTTAATCTGTTGATTTTGACTATCTGACTGCCCCACAAGGACATAAACTCTATGAGGGCAGAGCCTCTATATATGTTTTTTTTACCACCACATCTTCAGTGCCTATAAACCATTAGCATGTACCAGATACTAAGTATTTTTTCAATAAATGAGTGCATCTTTTTATGAAAAGTCAGATTTAGATTCACCCTGGAATTTGAGAAAAATTCAACCAAAAGAAAGTTTTACTGTAAACTTAAAAATCTTAGGATAAGAATGTATTGAGCCGTTACAGAAGCAAAGCTAAAGGCCAATCAGGGAGAAACAGGTCTAGCTAGAAAACACTATAAGAGCAAACCAGTCTACAGATGTTTCTACATATTCTCAAATTTTTCTCATCTACTAAAAATGAATACCTGAAGGAAACTTGCATCCAACACAATGATCTTTCCAACTGTGATACAGGTATTCAGCTTACACTTAAATTTACAAGGATATGGTCTTGCTACCTCGAAAACACCCTGCCAACTACTTTTTAAGACCCTAGGATACCAAGAGTATCTTAAAAAGGGGGGAAAAAAAAGGGGGGAAAAAAAGGGGCAATTATGGACCAAAATATTAATATTTATCAGTCAGTTAAAAAATAACTATAAAGGGTGTTAATTAAAAAAATTATTTATTTCTGCTCCTTTCATACATCTCATTGTTCAGGAAAACAGTCTTACACACACGTATCTGAAATAATGTACTCTCACACAGTTTAAACCCAAAGCACCATGGGTGAAGCTGATCAGTTGTCCAGAGTTCTCAGCCTGTGGAATCTTGCTTCTTGATTTAACATTAATGTTTGAGAATTAATGTTGAGAATCAGAAATGCCATCTCCAACAAATGTTAAGGGGCTGTAAAAAATAATCACTTTATTCAATATAATAATTGTAGAAATGGAGTATATTTTCTTTTAGAAATGAAAAACTAAGAAGAAAATGCCACTTAACATTGTTGGCATGTCAGTCTAGGTCAGCAGCAAAAAAAATAACTGTGATAAGCTTGTCTCTTTGATAGTACCAAGAAATTCTAGTCCAAGCTTTAATGACCTTCCTATGTTTTCATCAGATTCTTCTCTCTGCTGCTTTTCATCCTTTCCACATTTCATATTCGAGGATTGGTACCGCCTTTAAAACTTCATTAACAGGAGCAAATACAGTATCCACTGATTTCTTCTCAAAGGGCACTCTAACCCATCAGATAGCCCCTGCAGAAATAAAATTTATAAACAATATAGTGAAAAAAGAAGCAACCTTTCAAAGTACAAATAATTTCATAATAAAGACAATCTGAAAATATAATTGTGTGATTCTTCATTATGGTTTTTATTTCATATCTTATTCCCTCTTCCCTCAAATAAATAAAGATATTCCTAGGCCTCAGTTCCATCATCCTTCTCCACAAAGTATAAAGTTACAAACCAATATGCTAAACAACATAGACTGGGAAAAAGAAGCAATTGTGAACCTCAGCCTCCACAACCCTGAGACCAGAACTAGATGCCAACTACTTTGAAAGGAATCACAACAGAAGGTCCTGGGAAAAAAATTGTGTAACAAAACTCAACATAATAAAAAAGACTATGCTTATTGGTCTCAGAGAAACTAGTGGAACCCCCCCAACTGTGGCCCTTAGATACTCTTCTAGCCCAGAACTAAATTCATCCATGGCTCAACTTTCAGCCAAACTATACACAAGCCTATAAGGTGAGTAATACCCAGGTATGCACTCCAATCAACCACAAGAGATCAAAAGGGCAGCATTTGCCCAGGGATAAAGCTCATAAGGCAGAAGGGACAGGAAAAAAGGGCAAACAGAAATGGTAAACACAGGGAGACTAGTGGGAAGAGTGCTATTACATTGTGGAGACTGCATTCAATGTTATGGAAAAAACTACATATGAACAGTTGAATGGAAAACCAATTTGCTCTGTAAATTTTCACTCAAATCACAAAAAGTTAAATAAATAAATAAATGTAAAGGATTGAAAAAAAGTAAAATGTTACATAAAAGTTTAAGAGTAAGAATCGGTATTTTATGGAGTCTTACTATAGTGGAAAAAAAAAAAAAGTCACAAATTTTTCTGTTGGATTTCCTAAAAACCCTAATATTGGAGAAGGTGGGAAAACTTGGACCTATTCATGCATGCGAGATGAGTCTTTCAGCTCTCAAGAAATAAGTGTGTAGAAGCATTTGACCGTGTACTTCTATTCCTTTAACAAATGTCTAGGTAATAGCAATTAAGAGCTTTGGCTTTACCTGTTGATTGCACCAGGCTTCATGTTGATCAACATGGAGATGCTTTTACTAAATGTCTAATTTAGGCCCTGCAATTCCCTTTAAATAAAAGCATTAAATTTAGTTTTATAGTTTCAAACCTTTTATTATCCTTTGCAGGAAAGCTTTGCGATCTATAATTAATAAAGGATCTACATAATCAAGAAAAAAGAGAAAAACTTCATGAAACTGTCCACATTGAGAAAGGTTTTAATATATCTTGTCCCCTCTTATGCCTTTAGAATGTCTTCCCTTTTGATTCTGCCTTTGCTGTTACTGGGTTAAGACTGGCCAAGCCTCACTCAGTTTCCTCATTTGTAAAACGAGGTTACCACAAAAGGTTATGAGGGTAATGTAAAAGAACCTACTTATATAATAGCTGCTCCACATAGTAAGCACTTGACAAATGTTAGCTTCTATTGTTAGTCTGGAGTCTCACATTTCTTCATCTGTAAAATAGGGATTAAAAACCACCTCATGGGGCTGAGAATTACCACAGTGCCTGGTGCTTAGCAGACACATTTTCTTCCTTTCTGCAGCTTCTGGATTCACTTGACACCCTATACAGTTACATCTATATTCAGCCAATGCAGTCTCCCTAGAACCCTCAAGCCCCTTCCTTCTGCTGTTATCAGCCTGGCCAAGCCACAACTCTTGAATGAAGAGAACACTCACTAATACAATTACCTTTACAACAACTCAAATAAAATACTCAGCCTATGATTGGGTATTTGCAGAGATATGGACTTGCTACCTCACAGGGCATCCTGCAACTACATTAAGTGTAGATTCACATGTAAGGAATTATACAGAGAAACCTTGTACATTCTGTCCAGTTTTCCCCAATGATAATACATTACAAAACTACAGTATAATGTCACAACCTGGAAAACTGTGACATTGGTATTATCTACAGATCTTAATTCGGATTTCTCCAGTTTTACTCATACTTGTGTGTCTGGCTGAATTAAATTCTGTACAATTTGATCAACCTGGGTAGGACTGTGTATTTGGGACCACATTAAAGACACTGCATGGTTCCAACACTACCAGATCTCCCATGTTGCCCTTTCATAACCATACCCCCCCTTCTCTCATCCCTACCAACTACTTTTTAAGATTCTAGAATAAAAACGATGATCAATATCCTGAAATATTCTGTAATCTGTAGGGAAAATGAAATTAATGTACACAAATACTTTTCACCTGTGGTGGTTATGTTTGTGTGTCAACTTGGCTGGGCCTGGTTGAGTGGCCGGGCAGCTGGTGGTTATTCCCCATGATGTGACTGGCAATCAACTCCATGGTGGGATCTACCACAAGAAGCTGAATAGCTACCTTTGGGATGTGGTCTGCTCCCTATATATAAGAAGCCTTGGGGACAGTCTCTAGCTTATGGCGCCTTGAACCCGGCATGTAGCTGTGTCATTGTTTGGCAGCCTGCCATGCTCTGCCGACCTTGGGACTTACAATGGACATGAATTAATGGCCTGCTGTGTGGTTTGGTAATATCGTGACTATACCTTGTTACCTGTCAACCTTGGGCTTGGCAGCCTCAGCAGCCAGCAGCTATCTGAGTGAAGAAAAGCCTCTAGCTTCAGTGGGCTGGGAGCTGGAGGCACAGCTGAAACCCAAGGCTGAGGGGTTTTCACCAACCCCTAGAGACTGGCACTTTGAACTTGGACTTAAAGCCTTCAAACTGTAAGAGAATAAACTCCTGTTTGTTAAGGCCATCCCATTTGTGGTATATTCCTGTCAGAGCAGTACTAGGTAACCAAAACAACCCTCCTCCAAAAAGATTAAATAAAACATTTTTAAAAAACTCTTTGGATATGTATATTGACTTTGATTGCTATTGGTGAGGTGCCACTGAGTCAATTCCAACTCATTGCAATCCCATGAGACAAGAGAACTGTCCCATAGGGTTTCTTTGGCTGTAATCTTTATAGAAACAGATCATGAGGTCTTTTTTCTAGGGGAGCTGCTGGATGGGTTTGAACCACTAACCTTTCAGTTAGCAGCTGAGTGCTTAACAATTGATGTCACTAGATTTCTATATTGATTGTGAAGACCTCACAGAAAGTGGCCACTATAAAGCTTGTATTTCACAAAAAGGATACTTTAACACCTAAGCCTCCCAGGAGTAGGGCAGAAAGGTTAAGATTTTAAGCACTTACCCCTCAATATCTGCCTTATACAGTGGTTATTCAACTGCTAGCTTACACTACCAAACAAACACACCAAGGTCTCTTTAGGAATAGTTTCCTATCCTCCATATATACTGATATGTGAGCATACACTTTGGACATTTATTTCTTAATATAGTTATATATCATCATTCTTTGTAACCAGTATGTGATCTTTTTATGTAAAATCCATGGAGTGTCAGCCTGTATTTAGATGAAAGGATTACTTAAGTAGACATATCCTTATTCAAAGTCTTCAAACTTATAGTCTTACCTTAAGAAAAGACTGGGGAACACTAAGGAATATTATAATGTTATAAAGATACCATGCTGGAAGAAAGAAGAGAAAAAATAAAGGAATATACTTCTTGGGAAACACATTTACCATGGTTTATCCTGGAATCTTTTAGTGCCCTTTCATGGCCCATAAAATTTCATGATTTCTAATTATCATATTCAGGTCTCTAGAACAGTTGTTCACAAGTAAAACTATAGGTAAACAAAATCAAAGAAAATCAAGAATTCAAAAACAACTAGGGATACTGGAAGCCACTATATGGACCTGCCATTTACCCTCTAGCTTACAGTATTCATTCTTTCAATAATCATGGTGTACTTTCTGAATGTAAGGCAGGCACTATGCTAGGTTGGCACTGATACACAACTTTTTCAAAATACTATGACATGCAGCACCACTGCATTTAATCCTTGTTACAATCCTAAAAAGGTAAGTGAAACAAATATCAGTCCCATTTTACAGTTAAAGAATGTGACATGATAGGGGCAGTTAAGTAGCTTGCTCAAAGTCATTTGCTCAAAGGGCCAGAAAGGAAAAGAATCAGCGCTAAAACACAAGTCTCCTCATTCTGAGTCCATCACCTTCTCCAATAGTCCCAGAAACAAAAATTTCATTCTTATAGAAACAGGAATGGTTTACATGGTATTATCAATGGTCTCATATGCATTTAAGAGCTGGACAATGAATAAGGAAGACTGAAAAAGAACTGATGCATCTGAAAAGGGGTGTTGGCAAAAATACTGAAAATACCATGGACTGCCAGAAGAATGAACAAGACTGCACTGGAAGAAGTGCAGCCAGAAGGCTCCTGAGAAGTCAGAATGGTCAGATGTTGCCTCTCGTATTTTGGTCATGGTATCAGGAAGGACTAGTCCCTGGAGAAGGATATCATCCTTGGTAAAGTCAAAGGTCAGTGAAAAAGGGGAAGACCCTCAATGAGATGGATTGACACAGTGGCTGCAATGATGGGGGCTCAAGCATAGCAAAGATTGTGAGGATGGCACAGGAACCAGAAGTGTTTTTTACTGTTGTACCTAGGTCACTACGAGTCAGAGCTGACGTAACAGGACCTAACAACAGTTTCTTTACTTCTTTCTGAAATGGGAGCCAGAAGCCAATCTTAAACACAGAGATTTTAGGATTCTGTTTATAATAAAAACATTATTTAACATTGATATTATGCTTGACTGCTCATAAAACATCTTCTCATTTAATCTAGCAATAACTCTCTCAGGTGTACCATTAGCTTCATTTAATAGGTTAGAATCCAAGCCCAAGAGAGTTCGTGGAACTGACTCAAAGGTTCAAAGCTGATAAGCAGCAAGCCCATACCTGGACTCCAAATTCTTCACTCCTTCTACTACACACTGTCCTCAGGAGCTGTATAACTGTTTTCATATAAAATTATCTCTCACTTGCTAAAAATGACCAAATAACCCAGTGTAT